AGTGCTATGTACTACCTAGACTGGTACATTAACTTAGGTATTGAGCTCTAACTTCTATAGCATATTGGGAAACCATTGACCTCCTCAACCTCTATGCTACCATAAGGGCTAATAAGATAAAACCCAGCACAGAGGAGTTTTATTACAAATTTGCGGTATTTATAGAAGCGTTTGAGAAATTGGTGCTAAAAGAGGACTACTTAACTGCAGAACCTGTAAATTCAATATGCGCTGCATATGATACCGTACTTACCGGCAAAAGATACAAGGACAAAGGATAAGGCAGTTATTGTTGGAAGCCCAGGGTGCTGCTCATCATGCTTTCCTATCCTCCCTACCACCCATCTATTGCTCTACCTCCTATTCAGATATTTGCAGTCATCTTTGTTCACTCACATGCCCATTAGCTATTGGACCATTCACCTGTTTTATCAGCTGTTCATTGGCTACAGTATCTTTGGCTCTTGTGCTGGCAGGCCCACAGGCATCCATCCTCCCTCTCCCTATTTGCTAACTGTTTGGTCCTTATTTTCCTTATTTATTTTCAGTTTATTTTCTATCACATGCCTGCTGTTATCCCATTCAGTAGTCATTCACTCATCATTGCTTTGGTTCAGTTCGTAGCTACTTGCTCGTCATTGTATTTGTTCGGTCTGTCACTGTTTACTGTTTTCGTGTTTGCTATATTTTCCCATTGGCTAGCTTGTCTCAGTAGTTCGCCATAAGGGCAGAGAAGCTTTATATATAGGGAAGCCAAATGAGTACGGAGTATGGGAGTGGCATTGGGGCAATATGGATATGGAAACAGTATAGCGATAGGAGATGTTATGGTATTTTCTTTTGTCTTACTTTTGTTAGCAAATAGGAAGCACTGGCATGTGTATGAAAGTAAAAAGGGAAATCTTGTATGGGTGAGTGTGGAGGGACCAGGAGTAATGTTTTTGTTTATTTATATACTTGTGTTTTCTTGTCAGTTGGTTTAGGAAGTGCAAAAATAGAATGAGCTGACAAGAGCAAGAAATCAAGTAAGTTGTTGGGAGAAAGAGAGCGCAAGTGAAACATATTTCTTACTCCTTTTTTGATCTTTGCCTACTCGAGTAGTACCTTAGTGTTTCATTTCAGCCATGTGATATTTTATGATTACTGCAATTGTGATTTATATTTGCTCTGCGAATATATCTTTCTTCTAATTATAACTAAAAGCATTCTTCTTTTTTCCTTTAGACTATCCTCTAATGGATCCATGCCCATGATGTTGAATAATAACATGTGCTGCACATCTCTAATACTGATGAATCTGGGTAGGTACTTTTGCTATCTATAGGGGCTTCCAGGACAGTACTGTTAGAGGGTCTTCGTACCTCTGCATTCTTTTGTAGGAAAATGTTAGTAGCTTAGTATATTATTAGTGAGGGCAGATTAGATAAAGGAACACAGAAAGTAGGGTTGATTCTTGATGGAAGAGTGGTCACTGTAGTAGAAAGCTTTTAGGGGAGGACAAGCATCTCTTGAACTTGCTTCTATATTTGTACCTGAAATTTAATACCCTAAAAATATCCCTTATGGTACCAGAGTTCTGAAATAGCTTTAGCATAAGCGATCTCATGTACTCAAAAAGTTCCAACAGTACAGAGACTCCCCCCTGCACCAAACAATGTTCCAGAAAAGGTGTGTCCCTGGTTTTAAGAGATTGATCAGCTGAATGGACCCACACTTCCTAGGAAATCAGATAGGCCAAGTAGACTTCTACTATTGTTGGGTAAGGCCTGCTAAAAGTATCTGAAGAGCAGAAAGATACTCTTAGAGATTGAGGTGGATCAATCGTACAGTTAATGCCTCCATGTCCACTATGATAACCCCTTAGCAGCAACCTACCAGTACTAATATTGAAGAGATAGTTCCATTATTGAAGTTGATAGAGTAACTGCCAGCATGTGGCTGAGCTCATCTGCCATGAGGAGCTACTGCACATTACTAATCTACATTAGTACTGTCATCCCAGATCTTGATTTACCCCTACCCTGCCCTTATATTTGTCTTATCATTGTACTGTACTATGAGCATCCCCCAAAACTAACCACTCTGCTATTTTTTTAAGCTTCTCTCATTCCTAATAGATTCCGTGTTTAAGCAAACTTGTCGAAACCTAGGTATATCTACTAGAGAAAGATATGCCTTGGAAGTTCTAGTACCATTGCCTCGATATATCACACATTTCTAACATATTCTCAGGAATCCCCTCCAGCATGTCTATAATAATATGGTAAATACCTTGCCTAATATAAAGTGCTGCCCTTCGGTAAAATGCAAAACAAAATAAATAGAGCCAAAATATAGCTATGAAAACTCATACAAAGCAAGTGTCTATTTATTTGTGCTCTACTCAATTGCTCTCACTTGCTATATGTAATGGTGTGATTCAATTGTTGCATTGGATTGCCAAGGCAATCTTTCCGGGTAGGGAGGTACAGTAAATTTTCCACATGAGTAGTCTTTTAGATGACTTGTCTGTCATTAATAGTCTACTCTATTCGTATTGCTCCTCTGCTAACTCTAAGCATTATAGTATGCAGGGATGTCACAAAATCTAAGTGGATGTCACAGACCCTAATATCAAAGATTTTTACTGCTTGCTATTATTATTCCAGTGCTTGATTAGGGCCAGACAGGCCCAGAATTTATTTTGTTCCAGTGTCAACATTGATATCAGTATGAGGCTGCGATAATGAAAAGAGCCTTATACTTTGCTTACAGTACCTAGTCAGCGTGGCAAAGACATGCTTGTTTCTTTCGCCACCAGAGTACAGTTTTTGTATGGATAAAAGTAGTTCGGATTTGGGAAGCATCATAGCAAATGGGCAAACAACTAAGTGTATCTGGAATAGAATCATGGCTTCTTCAAGCAAGCTTCCCCTGCTGCTTGCCCATTCACTAAGAACAAACTAAGCCAATATCTAATAATTTATTTTATTTTATTTTAGTAGTAGAGTGCCCTGGGCTGGGTAGCTTGGGTGGTTATATAAAAGCTACAGATTGCGATTCCCCTTTCATCTCATAATTTGTGATATACCCAGCACTGAGGTTTGGGGGGACATTTTCACCATATATTACTCGATATTTGATTTCGCCTGACTGTTTTGAATGGCGGTGGAATTGGAGGCAAAAGCGTATGGGAACGGGTGATAGAAGTGACTTTCTTGGCTTCCTCGGTGGGATAAACGTCTCCCTTAAAGGCATAAACTCTCACAGATGCCGTACCACGACAGAATGTAGATATCCGTGTGGCACAACTTGGATAGTCTGAATGACTATATCTAGGAGTGATGGCGGACCAACTGGGCACTACGGAGGATTCACCTGGCATTTTTTCTTTTGCTGCACAGTGAAATACACTGCGCGGACTTCATGAACTGGATCGTCAACAACTTGGCGAAGCTAGATTCGCAGACTAACTTTGGGTTCACGTGTGGCACAGACTTAGGGTGAATACAGGATCTACGATAGCTATTATGGCTGCACGACCCGATTTTTGCAGCTGGGCGAGACTCTTGAGGAGCTCTCCCGAGCGATTCCACAGTGATAAGTCGAGAAGGGGCTCCATTTTCCACCCGCCAAGATGCCTGCGGAGGAGACCTTATATGCACGGGTTGCCCAGCGGATCGCGCATTTCGAAAGGGTAAGGGTGGAAGAAGAAGGAAGAGAAGAGGACCTCGGTACCGGTGGTTCTCCTCGTCTCTTTCGGACACGCCCGTCTTAGAAACCGTGGTGCTTCTCGGCATGCTCGTGGCTATCTCTCGTCCGTCCCTCCGTTCGTTCGCGCTTTGTTTTCGTCGTTCACCGTTTATCCATTTGCTCTCGTCCATGGTTCGCTCGTTCGCAGGAGATATGGATAGCGGGAGGCTGCGTAGTCGCGGGTGACTTTGTGGAGCTTGTTTTTCTTTTGTTAACATGCGAGTGAGCATGGGGTATGGGAACTTGCCCAGACGAGAGCCGATATCTGTGGTGTGCGCCAGAAGGATGGAAAGCTTGGAGGATACGTTTCTCAAGGTTGATATATACTCCTGTCTCTTCCGTTAGTTAGTTAGTGCGCGTGAAAGTTGAGAGTTATGCGTTGAATTCCCCGCTTTTGTCTTGCAGAGTTTTCGTCCTTGGGTCATCGTCGTCGGATCGGTATTTTCGTTTTCATGACGTCATAGCCGATCACTCGTTCGTTTCATATCTTTGAACTGTTGAATACTCTTATCAACTGGCTCACTGAAGTCGGTCGATTCGCGATGTCTCACATCCGACTCCCCCATTGGTAAGGGGCCGGACAGAGTCTCTGATGGCGGCTCGGCCACCACAAATGTTTGCTGAGTTGGGTCTAGTGGGAGTTTAATAGCGTAAATTTATCCTAGCTAAACCTGTCTAGTGGGGGGAGAGCAAAATCGTTGCGTAATAGTGTAGTGGCGCCCAACCAAAGACTGACTCTCCGCCTCCCTATTCAGGTTTAGAGTAAAAGCTGCTCGAGTAATTTTTGGGCGGTTACAAAATAGTTCGTGGTGTTAATAACCGACAACACCACGAAATCATATTCCCGGTTCTGTTTTACTTTTTGTAGTATACGGTTCCATGGATTTATTCATTTATCGCTGTCGGGTAGGTGCGGTAGGATGGTGCTGATTGGGGGGGCAGTCACTCCTTTCATTCGCAATCATATACAACTTTCCTCAAGTATTTCCTCATAATCTGTTCATCTCCGTCATTCATGGTTTTCATCTCTGCTTAATACAAACTATATGTCTTCACTCAAGCCATCCTACTCCACTTTGTAAAACCCTTACTATTGATCATTACCTCCGCATCGGCTATTTTCAACAACTTATCCCTTAATAGAATAGGCGCTGGGAATGGGATCAACTGTTCCGAGTTCGCTTATTAATTGCTGCAGTCCCATGACCCTTGGTACTTATACAGAACTGCTAGCTTCCGTGTCTACATTTCTGGAGGGGTTGGAAAGTGCTTACAATAGGCTAGGTAGGGGGTAGTGACCAGTTCGGAAACATCACAGCAGGAATCAACTTAATGTTAAGATAACAGCTCGGCTCTGCTGACGAAGCCACCACCTCCAGTGCTGCAGAAGCCTAGAGTCTAATATCTCCTCTCCTAACCACCGAGTCGATGAGAAAATTGGCAAATCTACCGGCAATGCCATCTGGCCTGATGAGAATCTATATAACTACACCCTTCAAGCTCTATCAGGTATGTACATCCATCCTCATTGTAGGAATGTAAGCCCCAAACTAACAGCCCCAACTTCCTCACAACCCTCACTAATACGTGCGTCCAAAAGTATATTGAATGTTCACTTTGCTTCCTCTCCCGGGAATTGCTATCATTAAGCACACTCACACTACAAACCCCAGATCCCGAACCGCTCGAAACCTCCTAGCCAAAGAAGCTGTTGCTCTTGTCCACAGCATAGGGAACGCTTCGGAAGTAGAATTCATAACAGATTTGCTTTTTCCGGTAGATGAAGAAGCAGCATTTCCTGCGGCGGACGTCATCTCGGTGCCGGGCAATCGAGTCATCAGGATATCCAGGATAGAAGTGGTTGGAGAGATCGCTAAACTTGCTAGACAGGTGGGGGCTGTTAGGACGGGTATTCTGCGGAGAATATTATCAGGAGTGGTGGGGTGTATCATGGAATGAAAAATGAGAAGATTTTTGATGGGATGGCGATGGTGAAAGAGTGGCGGTTAGTGGATGGGAAGGTTCTGCTATTTAGGGTGGGGAAAGGGAAGTTTACGGTGATTCAGGCAATTTAGAGTGACGTGGTGGCCCACTCTGGAGGCGGATTAGACACAGAACCCAACAAATGGCGAGAATTGAAATAGTTGTAGTTATTCCTTCCTGGCACTACTTCACCGTCACGTTTGATCGCTAGGTGGAACTTGGGTTACATATGGAATCACGCTTTCATATGATAAGAAATCCGCCAGTATGCTAGCCCCTAATAGATCTTCTAAACAATGAAATAATATTATGTGAGACGATATAAAAACTGGACCCTGAACGAGCGCAATGAAAGAAAGGGATAAAGGTGAGAAACATCTAATCTGCAAGTGACCCTAATTGACTGCATAAGTTGCCGCTCACATTATCGCATGGAGATCAGGGGATCCTATTAGTAAAACCACTCGAATGCTGGTATCCTCCTTCAAAGCTGCCGTTCATGCAGCCGATCACTGGAGCTAATTTAACTACCCACTTCCAGAAGGCCGAGGGCGAAAAAAACACATTAACATTGCACATGACAGTTCGAACCCATGGCATCACAATGCTTCCCCATAAACTTTACCATTCCAGCATGTCGAATCTCGAAAGTGCAAAAAAAAAAGAAAAAAAGTTGTACTGTATAGACACGTACAGGTAATATAACCCGCTAAACCATGGAACCAAGCCACCACAAGAATCCCATTTACGATATATATGCCCTTCAGGGCCTGCTCCGACAGAGAAAACCCAAGGCGATTCGAGCACACTACCAGTACAGCCTCCGTTCAAAAAAATCGGGAAATCTAGAAATAAGCCGTCTGTGCAAAGTCAGTGCAAAGTCAGTGCAAAGCATCAATTCCGATATGTCTTACCCCCTTTCCGCTCCCCTATCGACCCCCCCCCCCTGTTTCCCGATTTTTTCTCCCACGGGCTGTAAGTCATTAATCTGATTCATCATCACACTCCAGCACACCCTTCTGGACCAAGTGACGCCAGGTTGCTTCCTCAATATATTCCCGGAGAGGATCGAAGTAGAGAGCAATAGTGTCATCTCTTCCCCAGCCCTCATTTGCCAGGTCATCGAGCTGACTGCGAAGAATATCTCCAAGGGGCAGCTCCAGTTTCTGCACTTCATGGCTTCTCGGTGGAGGAAATAAACTCTGTATCTTCTATATTAGGAAAAGCAAAATCTGACATGAAATCTGACATGGGATGATTGTGGGAGTCACCTTCTTGCAACCGTGCTTTGTCGCTTGGCCATCCACTAAGTGCCATATCTCAACGAACCCCCTCTGGATCTCTGTCTCACCATCATGGAGCGGGTCGAGCTTGATTATTATTGCCTTACTAATTTTTCCTGCACTCCCCTCAAGTAGGAGCTTGACGTCGGCTTTCAAGTCCTCGTACGGCTCCGCGTAGCCAAATTCAAAAACCAGGGTAGGCCAGAGGCGTCTCCGGGGCACAATTGCACAGTCAGGAACTTTTATTCTGTTGGAGTGTGAGCATGGTGATAGTAGAAGGAATTGCTGAAATAGCACACAACCTACATTCCTTCATATTCTCCCATGAATCCCTGGAGGCGTCCTTTAGAAATAAGAAAGAGATCTCTAGAATCGAAAGCCCCAGCTGCCTCCCCTTCTCGTATTAAACCCGCCGCCCAACCTGATATCGTTCCATGGATTTGAGTCGCCACTTTTATCCTTAACTCACCAATAGCGGCACGGTAGGTATATCTAGAAGTGGTTTGTTAATATCTGGCCGCGGAAAATCCCTTGAATACATACGCTCGGGTTCCAATATGCGGCTCTAATCCAGCGAAGTCTTCCTGAGGAATATTAAGAACCTGATATTCATCTAGCAACAGTATCTTGGAAAGTTCATCTGGCGTCATTGGGGGCCCTAAATTCTGAAGACTTATGGGATACTCGAAAGCAGGGAGGATTAAACCGTAAGGGTGAAGCAGAAAAAGGTTGAAGGAGGAAAATACACAACTTGCAATTTTTTCCCCAAAAGGTGGCGGAGGAGGAGCAACGGCAAATGTAATCCGCTGACGTACGGTACGAGTGCGGCCGATAAATATATTCGTCACGTGCATTATTCGGGCACATCAGAACAAGAAAGCCCACCAAATTTTTCTCTTATCAGACCCACGTGACGAATATATCTATCGGCCGCACTCGCACAAGCACAAACACATAGAAAGTGTCCTAGCAGACTGCAATGAACCAACGATGAGTAGAGGACTATCCGTCAGCTTCCCAACGATTTCCCCGGCCTCAAATATTATTCTAGGCAGTAGGAATGGTCCACATAATTTATGTCAACATGCTCTAGGGCCTCTAATACCAAGGTTCGGATCTTGTCTATTTTCTACTGGGCTCTAACTTACAGGATTGCCTTTGGGCTCTGGAAGAATGTACCATAAGAACTGGAATAATTGAACCTCGGGCTAGGACGGTCAGAATTCCCCCTCTTGGATAGGGGGCCGAGGGCACAACGAAAACCGACTCCCCGAGCCACTGCTTAAGAGAAAAAGAAAAAGTAAAAAACACCCCACCATACCAGCAGAGGCAACACCCACGTCCTAGCTCGAGGTTCAATTATTCGAGTTCTTACGGTACTGGGTTTCCGGGGGTGAGCAAAAGTAGAGCAGCAGTCCGGGGAGGGGGGGTGTGTGTGCAGCTCGGCCCCCACGAATAGTGGCTAAGTTGGGTTTAGTAGGTGAAAAGTCGATGTTTTTCACCCGCAACATGGCGTTAGGTACAACTACACCATGAAGCCAGACTTTTTTATTAGTTAATGTCAAGCTATAATGGTGTTTGTTCCTCATCGCTTAGGCAAATGCTGTTCGCCATCTCCTGAACCAACCTACGTACCACCCCAAACCTTGTTGTCATACTGTAAAGTAATGGTAAGTTAACTCTTTCGGATTGTGCTAAGCTGAAATGAGTCCGAGCAGCAAGCTAAAAGTTTTCAACGTTTTTAACTTTGAATACCGTACTCTTACTCAAATCTATATTTTCGTTTTAAGGAGTAAACGCTTAGAGAGTAATTGGGACTGGCTTTCTCAAGTTCCCGTCGTATACTGTACAGTACTCGAGTGGGGTTGATAGGTATTTCTTAGTAAATTTACGAGCGCGGCCGATAGATATAAGTCACGCGGGCCTCATGGGAAAAATTTGGCGAGCTCTTCCCACAGAATTTTTCTTATCAGACCCACGTGACTGTTATATCTATCGGCCGCGGTCGTACTCGGGTGTGCACCCTGTGCGTACCTGGTACCCCGTCTCCCGACATATGATACCTGCCAAGGTGACGTACCACGTGACAAGATTACTTGGCCATTTATAAAGTATTCGGACGCTTTGCACCCAGACAAGCGCTAACAATACCGGGGCGTCCGGATACTTTATAAATGGCCAAGTATACGGAGGTGAGTGTTCCGCGCACCCAGTCAAGAAGTAGCAAACCTTCTTCAACCCCCCATCTGAGGAGCAGCGACATCACAGAGCCGACAGCAGGCAGGAAAAATATTGCACGACGACAAGGTGAGTTTGTTTAATGTCACTTTATCTCTCTTACTGGCTAGAGCATTGAAGCATTGAAGACTGACTTTCGCCAAATTCATGAGAAAGTGTAGCGGAGAATCATGCTTAGGCTCATTGTCAACAAACAAGCGTTCAAGGCTATCAGCATTCACCCCTACTATCTAGTACATACTCGTGCCAAGGTTGTGACTAAGCGTCACAACCCCTGGTTGCTCGCTCGCTCACAACCTGGGCACTCCTCCAGAGTGCCTGCCAGCTCAACATGACTTACCAGCTCAACATGACTTGTGGCTCAACACAACTTTTTAGTGGCTCAACACAGCTTTTGTGTGGCTCAACACAACTTTTTTGTGGCTTAATATTACTTTTCATAACTTCATATAACTTTAAAGTACTACTAAGAAAATTTATAATTATAAATAACTTTGCT